TGAGGCTGATTACAGCAGAAAATCTGTTCCTGTACCATCAGTGCTTCCCTGGGTCAGTATGACAGCCTTTGATCTGGAAGCCTTCCAATCTTGCCCCCTTCTAATCCTTAACACAATAATCTTCTAAAATTGAAAATGACATTAATAACTCCCTTGCTTGTTATCTTCTAATGGCTTTTTCCTCCATCTAGAGTAAAATCCAAACCTATTACTGAGGACCGCTAGGCTTCTTCTAAGCCCCCTAACCTCTCTTCCTGCTCCTTTCTGGAGCCCTTGCCCACCTTGCTGTGATCATATGGCCTTCCTTTGCTTCCTGGGACATATACCAAGTTCATGCCCACCTCCACACCCCAACTTTGTACCAGGTCTTTCCTTTGCTTGGCCAACTTTGCTTGGTCGTCTTGTTCAGGCCTGGGAACAAATGGTATCTTGAGGGAAACCTCTTAGTTGCTTTCTATCCCCCTTAGCCTTGTTTGCTATGGGTTTCCCATCATTAAGTTCCACAAAAGCAGGGAGCTTGCCTCTTTTGTTCATCTCTGGTGTTTGCAGTTCTTAGCATGGTATCTTGCACACAAGAGGTACACAACAGATCTTAATGCTTATAATAACCCTGGGAAGTATTATTGTTGCTATTTTTCAAATGAGTCTTAAAGAGAAGTGATCTGAGGTTGCATTGTTTTAAGTGCTTAAGCTAGGATTTGACTCTAATATTTTCACTCACTGCTATTTGACTTTAGTGATCTAGAGTTATTAAAGACCCAGTATCATCTTATTCATTCAAACTACCAGCATGTTTATGATTAAGAGCCTGGTTTCTTGCTCTACTGGATTCTGATTACATTCAAAGAATGATGCTGAAAAGACTAAATGCAATTAAAGCATGACAAGTATAAGATATCTATTGGTAGTCTTTTCTTTAAAAAGACTATTTAAGATTAAAGACACAAAAGTGTCTCATTCATATAAGTTAATTGACGAGTGTCCTGGTTATTCATTGTAAATTACCTCCTTTGAGGGGAATGCTCAAGTAAAGTAACCAGATATTTTCTTTTGTTTTAAAAGTAGAAACAAGCCAGGCTTGGTGGCTCAGCCTATAATCCCGTGCCTTTGGGAGGCTGAGGTGAGTGCATTGCCTGAGCCCGCAGGTTCAAGACCCGCCTGGGCAGGCGAGACCTCATCTCTACAATAAATCAAAAAATCAGTTGGGCGTGGTAGTGCATGCCTATAATTCTGGCTACTTGGAAGGCTGAGGCGGAAGGATCGCCGGAGCCCAGCAGGTCGAAGCTGTGGTGGCCAGGAGCGGCCACTGCACTCCAGTCTGGGCGACAGTGAGACTCCAACTCAAAAAAAAAAAGTAGACACATATCATCAACTGATGAATGGATAATATGTGGTATGTCTACACAGTGGAATATTATCCAGTCATAAAAGGGAGGTACTGATATATGTTACAACATGGATGAACTTGAAAACTTTATGCTAAGTGAAAAAAGCCAGACACAAAAGACCACATGGTATATGATTCCATTTATATGAAATATCCTTGGCCGGGCTCAGTGGCTCAGTCTGTAATCCCAGCACTTGGGGAGGGTGAGGCGAGTGGATTGCCTAGGCCCGTGGTTTTGAGACTAGCTTGGGCAACTTGGCGAGACCTCATCTCTACAACAAATCAAAAATTTGCTGGGCATGATAGTATGTGCCTCTAGTTCCGGCTACTTGGAAGGCTGAGGCAGAAGGATTGCTGGAGCCTAGCAGATTGAGGCTGCAGTGGCTGGGAGCATGCCACTGCACTCCAGCCTAGGCAATGGAGTAAGACTCCAACTCAAAAAAAAAAAAAAAGAGATATTCTGAATAGGCAAATCTTTGGAGACAAAGACAGTAGATAAGTGGGTGCTAGAGTTTGGGGGCAGTGTTAACATATACGTATGGGGTTAATATATGTGAGGTTTCCTTTAGGGTGATGACAATGTTCTCAAAGTGAATGTTTTAAATACCACTGAATGATACACTTTAAAATGGTTAATGGTAAATTTTATGTTGTGCATTTTACCACAATTTCAAAAATCAACAAATTAGAAAATGGTAGTTGTACTTCTTAGTTGCTTTTTCAACAAAATAAATATGCATAACTCTGTCAAGCTTAACAAAGCCCAGAAATCTAGTGTACATCATAAGGACTGTAGTTAACGATATTGTATGTGGGATTTTTGCTAAGAGTGTTCTTGCTGTAACCATGTGAATTGATGGATATATTGATTGGCTTGCCTGTAGTAACCATTTCACTATGTATTTGTATATCAAAACATAATCTATGCCTTAAATATAGACAATAAAAAAATAATTCAATTAAAATAATAAAATTAGGAATTGGTGAATGTCCTATTCCTTATGCAAATGAGATATGAATGACAAATAAGAATTATAGATCATTCTACAGGAAAAAAGGGTAAAGCAAGTGTGTTAAATAAAAATTAGAATTGCGATGTATACAGATATAAAAATAGATGCATAATATTGAAAGCCTTAACATGCTAACCGCTGATAAGAAGAAAGAAAAGGGTGAAATGTGGCCACTGTTTGAATGCCCAGTATGACTGCAGTTTGACAAGAAGTATCTTGGGGCCACAGTTGCTGGTTGTTTCCTAGGGGGCAGGGCGCGCCCAGTGTCCGAGGGCTGGTAGCTGTCTTTGAAGAATGTTTCTTCCTTCTTTAGGTAATAAAAGCAACTGGCACATTCATGGCAGCTTGTGGAGCCGTTCCCTTCAGGCAGCTGCTCTCCTTTCCCAGCCGCGGGTGACCCACGTAGCTGCCTGGCATTCATCTGGACAGAGGTACAGAAAGTGATTCCATCCTGCTGTCTTGGCATATCCTTAAAAGTTGGAGTGCTTCTACCCTACACAGACTCAAAAGTGCGTATGCCCAACTATTAGAACATGGGGTGGTGGGAGAAGTTCCAAACTGGCTTTCAAGGCACTGGCGCCACCTGATGGGGCTCTCGGTTTGCCAATGATCTTGCTTCCAGCCTGGTTCCCAACTTGTCATTGCCTAACGTGAGCCATGTCTATTGTCACCTCCTTACACCTCTGCTCCTCCTGTTCTCCCACCTACCTCTCTTTCTGCACATTGAAATGCTGCTTATCTTGCCAAAGCCAACTCAAGCCCTACAGTATTAGAATTCTACCACAACGTTTTTGTATTTCATTGTTTTTGTGCCTGGGAATTTTATCTCTTCCAACCAGATGGCAAGTTATGTGATGGCTGGAATTTCATCTTGCGATTTCAAGGTGAACCCACAGCAGTATACAGCTTTCACTGCCTTCCAGACACTCTCTCCCCTCCATAACAGCACCCTGATTTTCTTTTGCTGGGCCAACCTGTCACCATGATTGACTCAGGGCCAAATACTGATCAGTGAGAATCATTGGCCCTGGTCTTTTGCTGGAGTCCCTGGTAAGAGAGCCTTTTTCTCTAGGAGTTGCACTAATAGGAACTGTTGGGGACCAGCACTGCCAACTCTTGGATGTTTGTCTGAGAATAAAGCCATACAGAGGACAGCACAGTCAGGAGACTGAGCAGTCCTGATGGCATAATTTGAGGCTCTCAGTCATGAGCCACAACAGCCCTTCTTGTTGCTGGCTAGTTGCTTCCAACTGAGAGAATACCATTGCACGGCTCAGCATTTGCCATGGGCAGAGCATGCACAAAATAAACATTTACTGACTTGTAGATAGTGTGTTTGCAGCTATATCTAGGGTGGTTAAGTTACATCTTTATATGTTGCATTAAAACATCTTTATTGTGGTAAAATATGCATAATGTTTACCACTGTAACCATTTTTAAGTGTACAACTCAGTGGCATCAAATGTATTCACATTGTACAACCATCACTATTAACCAGGACTTTTTCATCATCCCAACTGAAACTCTGTACCCATTACACATCAACTTCCCATTCTCTCCTCCCCTCAACCCTTGGTAACCCGTTTTACTTTCCGTCTCGATGAATTTGACTACTTTAGATCTCTCATATAAGTGGAATCATAGATTTCCATCTTGTGACTGGGTTATTTCACTTAGCATAATGTCCTCAAGGTTCAAAATGTCCTTCATTTTTAAGACTAATATCCCATTGTATGCATGTACCACATTTTGTTGTCCAGCCAGCTGTTGATAGACATTTGGGATGTTTCTGCCTTTTGGCCATTGTAAATAACACTACTATAACATGAGTACACATATATGGTTGAGTCTGTGCTTTCAGTTCTTTTGGGTATCTGCCTGGAAGTGAAATCCTTGGATCATATGGTAACTGTATGTTTAGCTTTTTGAGGAAGCCATACTGCCTGCCACAGTGGCTGCACCATTTTACATTGTCACCAGGTTCAAGGGTTCCAGTATCTCTATATCCTTGCCAACACTTGTTTTTTGTTTTTGAAAATATTTAAGTTTAAAGATAGAACTGTGGTAATGCTGGGATAGACTTACTGTATTAGCTCATCTAGATAGATGAGAAAAAAAAAACGTTGGGTTAATGAAACATTAAAGCCAGAAGCTTTGGCCTGGAATAATTCATGCTCTCCAGCAGCACCATTTTGTAGACTTCTACTACACCCAAAAGTGACAGGCTGGATGACATCTCAGTATCAGAGATAGAAATGCCTCTTCTGGAGTTATTAGCCATTCCTTCATTCCTAATGAGTGGCGAGAGAGGCTGGACACATGCTGGCTTGTAGGTCACCAGTTTCTTCACAAACCTGCCCCCACCCCAGTTTTGACTTTTCAACAGTAAAGCCATCTGTCTATCTCAGGACCCTCTCACAGAGTACAGTAAAACCAGAACACTATCACGTTCCCAAGAGTGCATTCCTAGTAAGATATGTTAGCAGCTGTTGCCTTTTTACATGAGCTCCCTCTCCCTCATTCCCCTAGCTACAGAAAACTTTCCATCAGAGTCCTTAGGAAAAGATGGATGGCATGCGAAATGAGATCTGAGACACACTGCCATCTCGGAAAGGCTTTATTATTTTTACTTCATTATGGTCTCATACAGACTCAGAGTACTGTCATTTGTTTCAATTTGGTATCCTCAAGACTTTTTGTAGTGTTTTTCCTTAAACAAGAAAATTTTGAGTAAACTCTGTATGTTGCCAGTTAATCTTTTAACAATAATTTAAAAATGTTGGTGCTGTTGTATCATCAATGCAAGAAGTCCAACAATAAAAGTACAGTACAAGGAAATTCACAACGTATTACAGTGGAACAGACTGAGTCACATTTAGGTGATAGTGAGGACACAGTAGCAGTATGTACATGCACCTGAACACGTGCAAGTTGAATAGGATAATATGTGGATTATACGGCAAATTTTCTAAGCCCATCTGAGGACTCTGTACCTTCCAAGATGCTGTTCTGTATCCCCTCCAGTTTACAGAATATCTGTCTTGTCTACTGGCTTCATGGCTTTTTCACTACAAAAAGTTCACTGAATCAGACAGTCTGAAGCATTTTTAAAAATTCTTTAAAAATAGTAACACTGACAGAGTTAACTGAACACACTCGAATTCAACATGGAAAAAAAACCAAACCAAAATGAAACAGTGCAAATTTAACAGAGGCAGTCAGGTATTGAGAGTAAGGGTGTTCAGAATCTCTTAAAATGTACATTTTTAAAACTTTTAATTTTAAATCTATTTATACCTTATTTACCTTTTTGTTTAATATACCGTGTGTAAAAAAGATGGAGACAAAAATAGTTTTCTGAGCTATGAAAAAATTAAGTTATTACAGGCACGTTTACTGTTTCATTCTAGAAACATCTCAGTTTCACAGGTTGAACATTCAGCAGCTGTGTGTTTTTTAAAAACATTCTTTGACCTTGAGAAAACTAGATCTCTCCTTTTAGGCAGAGTTTGGTTTGTGATGATGGTGTGGTTATGCAAATTACAGTGAATTATTCTGCGATAATCCATGCAAGCTTGCATCATGGGTGTGGCTTCTCCTCTGTTGGCTCCTCATCACCATGCTCCTCCAAGGATGCTGGGTCTCCAGGTGACTGAGGCTGTGAGGCAGTGGGGGACTGTGGAGCCCAACGGGATGGAGGGCGACGGTTTGCTGGTCTCTCGGGCCTGGAGAAGCAGGGCTCTAAGGATGGAGCTAGTGCAGAACAAGGTAGTTCCTTCAGAGCCAAGAGAGGAAGACACGGTTACTCACTGGCAGCTTCGCCTGTGGACAGTCCTTCCAAATACACTTCTCAACAGACTCAGGTTAAATGGAATACACCGTGGGCAACCTATGAATATTAATAACCTTTTTGCTCATGTAGAATAACTTAAAGTGATGAAGAATTCAACACAAATGATCAGTGACATGAATGGGAAGACAGCAAATTATAAGTAACTATGGCAATACTGTGAGATGGGTCTGCTTGCAGAGTTTCTTCAGAATTGGGCTGGGACATACAGAAGACAGGGGAGTGACTGGCTGTGGTCTCCACAGCCACTTCATCGTATTCCAACCCGGCTGATCTTGTCCTTTGACCCTCTCGAATGATCTGTTGAGCTATAGTGAATCAGTGAGTCCCATAGGGCCTGGATCTGCTGGGGGCCCTGAAGAGAACTATGATTTCGTTCTGCTGTATTAACAGAGTTATCTTTAAACAAACTATTCCACTGTTTACTTCAAACTAACTGGCAGTAGGTTAAACAAACTCCCACAGCATGGAAAAAATGCTATAGGCTAAAATTTTAACATAGGCCTAATTTTCTTTATTTATTTTCTTCTTTTCTTTTTTTTTTTTTTGAGTTGGAGTCTCACTCTGTCACCCAGACTGGAGTGCAGTGGCTGCTCCCAGCCACCACAGCCTCAACCTACTGGGCTCCAGCAATTCTTCCTCCTCAACCTTCCAAGTAGCTGGAACTACAGGCACACGCTCCCACACCCGGCTGATTTTTTGATTTATTGTAGAGATGCGGTCTCACCAAGTTGCCCAGGCAGGTCTCGAACCTGCGGGCTCAGGCAATCCACTCACCTCAGCCTCCCAAAGCACGGGATTACAGGCTGAGCCACCGAGCCCAGCTGCCTAGTTTTCTTTAATGACTCTTCACTGTAGCAGCATTTGTAAAAAGTAGACTCAGAATGTGCTTGTGGTTTTGTGCTAACAGACATCATCATGTTCTAAGACCAGGTGATACAGGATACACTCAGCCATGTACAAACTGCCTAGAATCCTAACTCTCAAGCGACTTTTTCTTTTTCAAGAACATTGAGCAACTGGTCCTTAGTCTGCGTGTTATGAAACCAGGACACCCAAACTTGAAATTTGCTGATAGACAGAAATGTAAAAAGCTGTGGCATGAGGAAACTGAGTTACACGGCATGGAGCCCGTCAGTCGGAATGACACTCAACCACTGAAAACTGAGAAGGTGAACCATTACGATGGAAGGCACAGAAGGAACAACAGAGAACAAGGACCCTCAACGAAAATCAAGAAGTGAGTTGGAGGATTTAAAGAGATGTGACAAGCAACTGAAAAGATCAAAATGAGAGATTAGTCAGTGATACAGGGGAGTGGGGGACAGACAGCTATGAGGAATGGGTGATGTCACTCAGGAAAGATGGAACATGGCAGAGATAGCACGGATCCAGGGCAGCGTGGGACCCACAGGCATCCAGAAGAGCGATGAGGTGAGTGGCTTCCCTGCCTCCCTGTGGGGCCAGCAGGAAAGGAACAGTAACCCTGGAGAATACTACTTCATGCTCCCTGCCTCCTTTGGGGCGGACGCTTTACATGACCATGGGAGAAGCCTCTATTAGCAAAGCATTATGCTAATGACAATCAGAAATACCTCTCTGGTTAAAACATTACCAGTGCAACTAAAACACAAAGTAGCCTGGGGTGCCACCGTGTCCTACCTCACCTCACCCCACAATGCTTGCAGGGGCACATGGTTTGCACCATCTGTGAATGTTTGATGCCTCTGCTCCCATTTAAAAGTAGTGTGTGTGTATCGTGTGTCTGTTGTATGTGTTGGGTGTTGGTAAGAATGCTACTGAACAAGAATGGGATTTTAATGATTCCATTCTGAACCATCCTTTCACCAGTGTCTGCTTGTGAAGGAAGGAATGTTGTGTGATTTGGAGTTCAAGGGTATGAGTAACATGTCAACATGTGTAAGCAAGTGATGTACTTTCCCAACAAGCCGCTATGATGGGTTACATGGGCATCAGGTACTGAGTTACTACCCCTGTAGCACCTGTCTTAGAAATGGCCTTCCATACGTTCTCTGTCATTTTTTCATAGGGGCAAATCTGTTGTCTTTGACAGTTGACTATACTTTCATATTTAACACTTCAATTAAGGCCAGTAGATGAAGTGGACTATATTCTTGATCAAAAACAAAGTATATCTTTTCTTATGTGCTTTGATTCAGGCTCTGAAAGCAATTCTAAGATAAGTTTTCAAAATATTTGAAGCAGGGATAGCTTTGTTGGTTTTCATTAAACTCCTATTTATTGAGCACCTACTCTGTCTCCTATAGTGCTCACCTGGAAGGACAAGATACATTTGGGTTTGTTCCTTGTAGTATGTTTGTTGAAAAAAATGAGAAAAGGCTGGTTGTGGTGGCTCACATCTGTAATCTCAGCACTTTGGGAGGCTGAAGCACAGGGACTGCTTGAGCTCAGGAGCTCAAGACCAGCCTGGGCAACATAGTGAGACCTTGTCTCTACAAAAAAAAAAAATGAGTCAGACATAGCAGCAAGTGCCTGTAGTCCCAGCTACTTGGGAGGCTGAGGTGGAAGGATCTGATCCAGGAGGTGGAGACTGCAGTGAGCTGTGATCATGCTACTGCACTCCAGCCTGGGCGACAGAGTGAGACCTGACTCGAAAGAAAAAAGCCTTATCACATTATAGTCACACCTCATTTCAGTATGCACATATGGGTCTGAAATGCTGGTGAGCAGACCTAGGTGGCTGGGCTCAAAGACTCCCTCAGGCAAGACCCCTGCGCTTGAGACATCCCCTCCTGGCCAGTATCTCCTCACTTCACTGAAAGCATATTGGCTGCAAACTGCACAAGAAAGGGGAAATCGCAGCAGGATCTCTATATAACCTAAAAGCCTTTCTTTCTACTAAGAAGTCAACACTAGAGTGGGGCACACAGGAGGTCTGAGCTTGTCAATTTGTTCCTAGGGATGAGTGAAGCTCCCAGAACCTGGGGAGAGTCAAGGGGATGCCCCCACCAGGCGAAACTCCCTCAGGTGATGAGTGTCAGATGCCAACCATGAGTTACACAACATGACCTCCCCAGACAGTTGGGAAACAAGGAAGAAAGCACTTACAGCGTGAGGCAGGCAGGGCTAGAGTCCCCAGGGGGCAGTTAGTAAGACAGTTTGGTTCTGGACAGAATAGACAGAAAGAAAAGAAAAGCAAGTAGGTTGAAAAGTATTTTTTAAACAGAATAGTAAAGGTTTAAAGTCAGCAAGCCCAGCGGCACAGGACTGTCCCTTTCACTTGGGGACAGGCACCAGGAGACTTAAATCTCTCAGATACAGCATATTCACTTTGAGGTGGGTATGGTAGGGAAGTGGCACCACTTGGCACACAGGCCTGTCTTCTGTTCTCCGCCCAGAGTGAAGAAGGAGCCACCATGGAAGAGCCACAGACTTCTGTCTGGTCTGTGATTCCCCCAGTTACCCTTTAGCATTTAACATTTGAGACAGTATTTTGGAAAATGGAGAGATGGAAATCGCATGATTATTGAAAAGAAGGCCATTATATGACCGTGTTCATTCTGGTCACAACAATCAAGCTACTGCTGCTTATACTAAAAATTTCCCCTCATATTTTCCACTTAGATATGGGAGGGAAGAATAGCATTCCACTTTCAGATTATTCTTTCTCTTTATACCAGAACTCCTTCTCACAGCTTCTCTCTGTACTGCTGAACTGCAGCAATGGCACCAAGAGAAAAAGAGGTCTAAGTCGTTTGTGGGATCAAAGTGAAGTGAGACAGGGAGATTTCCTATTGCCTAAGTCATCTCTGTGTCTAGATACCCGAGTGGACGTTCAGGGAAAGATTCCACAACAGGGTGCTCAGAGGTGACTGGGAAATCACAAGTAATCCTGGTGATTTTGGAAGGAAAACCTAGAGCTACTGCATAATTTATAGAGATATGTCGCCAATAGGCCTAATAAGTCAATTCAAACAAATAATTCCACTGGAATCTAGAACAAGCAAAATCCCAACAGAAAAGGAAGAAAAAGCCCATGGCACTTAGATGTTGCCAAGAGTGCTCCATGCAGGTTCTGAGTCCCTGAAACTGTCTATGCTCCCTTTAGATCATCTCTTTTGGTAGCAAGTAAGGAGAAAATCTAAACACACTTTATAGAGGACAAAAGGGGGAGGGCATCACTTTGAACTGGTAAAACAATTTCCATGCCATAGTGTTGTGACTCCGTTATTACACCATTTTCTTTTTATTACCACAGATTGCTTGCAGCATTCACTATTAGTAACTCAAAGCATTTTTGGGGTCCTAAAAAGTAATTTCCATTTGGTGTTTAACATAAATGGACACTGTAGACACAGCCAGTTAGTACTATAATTCCAACTGAAAATCAGAGCCCTAAGAAGCCCTAAGGCAGGGTGTTCACATGTATATAGATTTTTCTCACAGTAGAAGTACTTACCTGAGGGGCCCCAAGTGACGGGGGCAGCAGAAACCCAAAGAAGATACCATGTGTCACCTGTGAACACTCAGCCAGCAGTGTTTGTCCTTCTCAGAGCATGTAAACAGCTTTATCACAAAGACTCAGATCTTTGGAACATGTGGGCCAGGGCCATATACTATCAGTATTTGTATTAGGTTGAACTGTATGGAATCTACAGATCACTGGCAACTCCACAAGGTTTGACCTATTCAGATTTAAAGCCCATTATTTTGAGTTAAATATTCCTTGGTGGACAGGACTGGGAACCTAGCCACCATTTCCCTTCTGTGGGAAATGTGGGCCAGGTGACAAAAAATTTTTTAAAAGTCACACAGGGTTTATGTTTCTGCCTGCTCCATTTCCCCATAAACTCAACACCTCCCTAGCTCCCACCAACTGGTCATGGACAATAATTCCTAAAATCAAATGACTGATCACAATCCCCGGTCCCAACCTGACAGCTAAAGGGAAGAGCTGCTAGAAGAGGGTGGGGGTCACTCAGCATTCATTACCTCCATGGACCCTGGCTCAGCTGTGTCCCCCAGTGAATGACTGTCACTGTGGAGACCTGAGGGACCGTGGGCGGCTTGCCTCCTCTCCTCCTTTAAGGCATGCTCCAACAGTTTCTTGTTGAGGATCCGGGCCACATTCTCAGCGAGTGTGTAGCCAGGGGGAGCAGATAAGTCCTGCCTCACTGGCGTGCCTTCTCCCCCTTCCTCCCTGCACGTCTCTGAGCCCACCCCAATGGGGCTGGGCGACCGTCCTCGAGAGCTGGTGCCCGTTTCCTGGCCTGGGCCCAACTCCGGGCGGGGTTCTGCTGAACGAGACCGGCTGCCAGCCCGCATCCCCTTCTGGAAGGGGTCCTGCACCACAGGGCTGTGGTCGATGATGTTGAAGAGGCTGGAGAGGCCATCATTGATGGTGGTGTGCACGGGGCTCTCCCTGGTGGTAGTGGAGCGGGCCCAGGCTGACTCGCTGTACCCTTTCTGGGCCATCCCTGTTGAGGTCCTGTTATTTGGCTGGTCAGCTTTGGGGAGGGGCTTCCTTTGCAGCTTGGGAGACCCATACTTGGGGGAGCAGCATGTGCGTTCAAACTTGGCCTGCACCTTCTCTATGGCAGGGGCCACCTGTCTGTTCCTAAGGCTTCGGGAAGGAGATGACACGGGTGTGGTGCCACCCCCAGCCTTTGGCGTGAGACACTTGTGGGGGCTGCTGGTGATGCCACTGCCCCGTAGGGCTTCGGTCTGCAGGCCCACACTGATGGTCTGGACAGTCTGCGTCCCCATTGTCCGGGACCCGTTGGTCTGGCAGGCCATGTCCTTGACTTGCAGCTCACCAGGCCCAGAGCAGATGGCATTCCTGACAGAGAAGGCAACTTCCTTCATGTCATCACTCATGTTCTTGGACATCTCCAGGCTGTGCAGTGGGGAGGCGAACCCCAGGGAGGTGCAGAGGGGGCTCTCGAGGGGATGCCGTGTCCCCTCCATATAATCTCGGGGGTGCCTGGAGGTTGCACAAGGCCACCTGCCCAGCATGGGTTCTGGAGGGACCCCCTTGGCATCTCCCAGGCTCCCTCTGGCTCTGCTTGTGGGAAAGGGGCCATCGCCGCCCGCTGTCACAATGCTGTCGACCCTGCGCACAGCAGGTGGGCTATGCAACACGCGTACCCCAGACTGCTCAGTGAGGACATGGCTCCTCAGTGGCTGCTTCGGGCAGTGCTCTGGGCTGGTCATGGTGTCCGTGGTCATGGTGATGCTCGTGGTCAGGTACCATGAGGAGTCAGGGAAAGGATCCACAGTGGCCTCATGCCCTGCCCGCCCCACCTCGGTCCTATCTGCCCAGAGGTCTGAGGGCCTCTCAGTCCCAGCAACGCCATGGCCCCTAGGGGGCGTGTAGTCCCAGCTCTTGCTGTTGAACTCTTCGATGTACTTGAGGTCATCCGGAGACAGGGGTGGGGTGACATCCTCCTTGCCGCTGGTAGATGGCAGGCCCTTCTCAGGCAGGAAAGGGGAGACATCCATCAGGCGCTGGAACTCAGACATGGAGGACACAGATACTGCCCTGGGAAAAGCAGAAGAGCGGGGGTCAGTACCTGCCAGGGAACCCCTGACACACAACAGCACCTGTGTCCTGCCCTTTGTGAGAAGTGCCCATGCAGGGGTCCGCTTCTGTCCATCTAAACTATTAGGATACTTCTCAGTTGCTTGATGTGCTCCACTCATTAGCTTAACCTGTGGGCATTTATTAAACTTTTTATGGTTCTGGAATGGGTCCTGAAACCTTGTATTGGTCAGAATTTAATACAGGCAACCCTCAACTATTGTAGAAGCATGTGGAAGGGTAGGGCTGCACTGTGGCTTGGCATCTCTAGCCACGGATACATGCTTTCAGTGACAACACCACTGTGATTTTGCTTAGGTCCAGGCATCACGGCAAGTGCTCATGGTAAGCAGATGAACACACCACAGTCCCTACCTAAAGTGAGCTAAAGGTATATGAGGGAGAGAAATAGAGCAGCAAAATAGGTATAATCTCAAGTCTCTTTTTGTCCAATTAGTCTCAACTGGCTTGAAGTACTAACAATCTCCAAAGGCCACTTGGAAAATGTAGAAGAAAGGAGGAACGTAGTCATCAGAATCAGATTGGCACATAATTTCCAAACACTGTTTCTTTTTTTTTTGAGCTGGAGTCTCACTCTGTCACCCAGACTGGAGTGCAGTGGCCGCTCCCGGACACCGCAGCCTCGACTTGCTGGGCTCCGGCGATCTTTACGCCTGTCTTCCAAGTAGCTGGAACTACAAGAGTGTGCTACCACGCCCGACTAATTTTTTGATTTATTGTAGAGATGAGGTCTTGCCAAGTCACCCAGGCGGGTCTCAAACCCACGGGCTCAGGCAGTCCACTCATCTCAGCCTCCCAAAGCACGGGATTACAGGCTGAGCCACCGAGCCTGGCTTCCAAATACTGTTTCAAACAAAAATTACATCTGGCCCTGCCTAAATTCACCAGCAGGGCTCACTTCACCCCTTTTCCCTCTCTCAGCCCTCTTCTTCATGTCCAAGTCTTTGCTTGTGTGTGCTTCTCCTTTATTCCTAAATAAGTGAAGAACTCCCTCAAACATGAACACAACTGAAGGGTGAAGACAGGTGAGCCAAAGTGATAGCTAGTTTTTGGCAAACTGCCCCCAACAAAGATTTCGGTGTAGATTCAATATGTTGGCACTTTCAGTTTGACATGACTTTACTGAAAGCCTCCCAGATGCCCAGCAGGAGCTGCCAGGGTGCCAGGAATGCTTGCAGGCTAAGACAGAAAGTAGCCGGAGTGCTTGAGCAGTTTGTCAACCCACCCAGGGCAAAGAAGTGGTTAGGAAGGAGGCCAGGGGTTGGCTGTGCCTTCGGCTTGGAATCCCTCCTGCTGGGGTGGGACAGGTGGGTGAGGTGTCCATAGATACACTGTCTCTGCAACTAGATGAGTTTCCCATTGGTCATATTAATATACCCCTTGCCTGCAGAACACAGGTTTATATACCTAGGGTTCTAGAGTAGTGCAGGGGTCCCTGATTGAGTGCATGGGCCACACCTCTGTAGGACCCATTAATGATGAGCCAATCTATGCACTGTATAGACTAGTACACAGAACCAGCAAAGCTCTGGGTAGCTTTGCTAACAACTGCCTTCACCCTGAGGGGAAGGCACACACCTTTGTGATCAGCATCATGGGGTAAAACAGGAGGCTAAAAGTGACAATGTTAGGCATTCCATTTTGTTTGTTTGTTTTTTGTTATTGTTGTTAATATACACACTGTCCAATGGTGCTTTGAATTACAGCAAACTGGCTATATCCAGTGCTGGAAATGAAAAGCAGTGAAGATCTCTTCCACTGGGTGACCTGTCACAAGGTTATGAGCTTTCCAGCAAGTATGGATTCTCTTTTCTTGCTTCTGGTCAATTCAAGGAGTTGCTGAATTCATAATGAATTTCAGAACACTGTTCACTGGGGGCAGTATATGCTCTACAGATGCAGAGCCCCTGGTCCTTTTCACATTTCTGTGGACCTAGCTCACCTAACTTCTGTTCTTGCCCACAGAGGAACTGCTCTCAGAGTTAAATCAGTGGCACCTAAGTGTGTGGAGACTCTGCCTGTAGGGCTTGATGGATAGGGTGGAACAGACATGATGGAGACAGAGAAAGGAGAGGCATCAACCTCAGCAGTGCCCAAAACAAGCAAAACAGTAACGACGAAACCAGGATGCATTTGAAGCATGTGCAGGTGCACAGAAGACAGCATGGAAGAAATCTTTTCTGGATGGGGAAAGGGGTCTTTTTGATCACAGAGGAAATTGCCACCTCTCTGGGGACTGTTATCTTTCTTTCAAGCAGTCAGAAGCCAGAGGGCAAAAGGGACAGTGGGGAGGACACATTTGGATTTCACTTTGGACGTTTTGATGTTGTTTACATTGTACAATAAGCATGGGTTACTTTTGGAATTAACAGAAACAAGTACGATTTAAAAATAAAAAAACAAAAACAAGCCGGGTTCGGTGGCTCAGCCTGTAATCCCGTGCCTTTGGGAGGCTGAGGTGAGTGGATTGCCTGAGCCCATGGGTTCGAGACCCGCCTGGGCAGGCGAGACCTCA